GCGTGTAGTCAGAGTATGGAATAGTCTTCCTGATAACGTAGTGCAAGCTGAATCCTTGGGTTCCTTTAAATCAGAGCTAGATAAGATTTTAACAACTATTAGCTATTAGTTAAGTTCTCCCCAAGCGAGCTCGATAGGCCGAATGGCCTCCTCTTGTTTGTATAGTTCTTATGTTCTTATCAAAATATGGCTGCTGCCCCTTTGGGTGGAGAGGAGTCAGCTGAGTGATTCAGGCATGTTATAAGGATGCCAGATGGTCTGCTTCCAAGGCAGCTGTTCCAGGCACGTCCTCCAGGATGCATTGGAGAGATTATATCCCCCAGGTGGCTGGGAAACACCTAGGGATGCCCCAGCATGAGCAGTGGCCTTGGAAAGGGAGGCCTACGCTTCCTGGCCATGCATGTCAGCCCCAGATCCTCACCATAAAAATTACCATTATGAATGTTTTTTCTACTTTTTCATGGTTATTTCAAACATATATGCCTCCTATTACTTCAGGGATTTTTTATATTAAAAATGAGTCAAGAATAACCTTCATTTCTGGCTTTTATTTATTTTTTATTTTATTTTTGTACTTACTTTTTTACCCACCCCCTTACTACACAATACAGCAAGATATATTATGCTAATAGATTTCGGTTTCTAAGACTATTGTGCATTATTTTCTTTTAGTAATATAAAACTATTTGTCTATGTATGGAGCCATGCTCAATTAATTAGTCTTGCAGGCTTTTGCCATTATGTATAGTTTTTATATCAGACAGAGTTCTTCGTAGACATGAGGAATATGCATATTTGAATTTTTATGTTACTTTTGCTCAGGAGATGGAGATTTCAGATTTGTCTGATGTTAAGGGTATGCTAGACTCATATACGGGAAATTGTGATGTTAAATAAACCCCAAATTGAAACCATACTGAGTTCTATATGCTGATCATCTTTACAACAAGGTTTTTTCAGAGGTTAATTACAAATGACTAATTTGTATTTGATATATAGCTGATCATAAGTTCAGTGAAATAAATGGTCTCCTGTCCTGTGGCAGGTGGGCGAAGTGTGCACTTGGTTCAGTTCACTTTTTAACAAACATACAGACTTACTTTTCTCCTGTCCTGACGTAGGGCTCATGACAGGGGTTTCTGGGGTAACAGCGGTATCCACTATGGTAATTCCAGCACATCTGATCGTCTGCACACTCATGTCCTGTTTCACACTCGTTGATGTCTGGCCATAAAATAAAGACAAGCCTGGTTAAAAAACACCCGAAATTACAGAAACGCTAACTCAAGGCAGGATGGAGATGACAGGGTTTGGGTTGTAAAACGTGCCACATTGCAATAAATGTTTGCCATTAGTTTCTACAGCAGCATAGCCACTATGTCCGTTTAGCATAATAAGCAGTGCCAGAGAATGTGAATCTACAGTGAAGTAAATTTTATCTAATTCATCACAGTCAGCTTTGCCACAACAGAAAACAATAAGTAGACAATACACAAGCCTGGTAAATTCCACAATCAACATTTCTTTCCATTACTTGCCTACCTTACCTAAATTATAATAGCAATATTTACATTTCATTTATGGTTCAGTACTCTGAGTACACAAGCTAAAAGTAAAGACTTGCATTTAAAACATCAGTTTGAAACCCAACTGCACAGTGGAACGTCCTACATAATTTTCATAATAGTGAACAAACAGAATACAGCAACAGCTTCACAAATATCATCCCAGGCAAGACTGTACTCCACAGGAAGCACTCAGCCAGAGTAGCTATATACACTGTATACAAATCCCTTCCCATCACCTCTTTTTACTTGCTAGAAAGACAAGTAGATAAGCACACAAAGATAAGTTTTAACATACGATGAGGTTGTCTGACTGATTTGACCTTCTTTCCAAGAATCTACACCTCCAAGAGGGAACTTGCCCACATTCCTGGTTGTGCGTCTGACAGGTGAAGTTAATACGCGCATCGTCTTTTTTTAACGGCCGGCAGCCGTTAAACTCGGCAGCGTTTGAGAGCAAGTCGGCCAGCACCTTGACACATTCTTGTTCCCCGGTATCCTTCTGGGCATGTGCAGACATATCTCCCGGGCTGGTTCACACACTGATACTGGCATGTGTAACTGGATAGGCTGCACTCGTCAATATCTGGACAGAAATAAACCAATAACACACTTGTGAAAGCAGATATGGTGCGAAAGTAAACTCTGCCATCAGATGACAATAGATAAATTGGAAATCTTCACATTCCACTTTTGCTAACAAAAGAGTCTTGGCCAGTGATTCTATAGTCATAGTTTTGGCATTATAGACTCGAGGTCGACCAATCGATGGACCATGTGGCTGCTTGACTGACGCCCAGCCACAGGGGCCCTCGCTTCTCAGTGCTGTAGTGTGGTTTATCAGCACCTACAGTGGGGAACCTATGCGGCAACTGAAGGTTAGAGTGCTAAATTCCTGCGGCTTACATCCGTTTCACTTGATGAATAACATTGCCGCAACACCAAAACGATCTCAATTTTTAAGCATATCGTTTTGTTACTTTTGTCAGAAATTGAATCATGAAATACCAAAGACAAACCAAATTATTGCCATTGTTTTTATTTTCTACTGTTTTTAAAATGATGCACACTCTTGTTTAAACTGTGATCAATTTCTGTTATTTTTGATGTTAAGAGTATGCCAGACTCATATCTGGGTGCTTGTGCTGTGTCTTGGGAGTTGATATTTAGAGTTAAGCGATTGTTGCTTTTGCCTGCTATTAATGTTAAATAAGTATTTAAAGTTAAGCAGTTGTTTTATTAATTAATTTTTTTTTCTACTTAAAAAACCGGTCATTGTCCCCCATCCAAAAAAAACCGGCATCAACATTTGCCACTGAAAAACATATCAGTCGATGTCTTTTATTGACCCAAAAGTGTCCACACTGTTGAGACATATTAGCTCACAAAATGTGACAGATTTGCTAACATTACAAGAGGTTACATTTGTTACACAGCCAAAGGAGGTCGGCTCACGTTGCTTTGATGTGACATATGTCAAGGCTAGCTATTCAGCATCACTTGACTCGCATCCAGGAGGTGGCGTCTGCGCAGTTCTGACAGGCAGGAAACGTACCGTGGCAGGAGACCATGTTGGAAGCCAGCTCGTACCCGGGTTCGCAGATACACAGGAAGGATCCCATGGTGTTGTAGCACTGGTGCTGGCACGGATTGCTGACCTCACATTCGTTCAAATCTGAAACGAACGGTGACGGCATTGTCATTCCATCAATGACATCACAATGGCATCACAACATTAAACACTCTGATTCAAACCCCTGTCCAGATGCAGGGTGTTAGGGAGTGTGGAACCCTTCCTGAGAAATGGGCACAAAACACAAATTTGCAAAACAGATTGGGGGGGAATTAGATCCCCAGCTGAGGGGGTGTGAGGAGTCAGGGCTACCCACAGAACCACTGCGTACCATATTCCTTCACAATAATATTGAGAAAGTTTGGTAACATTTTTTTACTTGAGAGGGCACAAGTAACTTAGTAATTCAGTGACTGCTCAAGTACAAATCATGTAAAAAATATAGTACCGTACATAGTATAGTAACAGGAAAAACATGACCTGTTATGATTGATTAATGATGAACGAGCATGAGATCAATACGTAACTAATGCTGGTTAATCGATCGATCGATCAATCGATCCATCCATCCATCCACTTTTTGTAACCGCTTGTCCTGTTCAGGGTTGCTGGGGGTCTTGAGCCTATCCCGGAGTCTACAGGCGCCAGGCAGGTTTCTGATTAATTAAAACATTAAATAAGAGTGCTTTACTACATCATTTGTGCCCCCTCATGTAAAGTGTTAAAGTTTTTTATTTTACCAAGAAACCACTATCCAGGGGAAGTGATTAACAATGCAAACAGCACACACTGTTTAATGAGGTTTACTGAGAATGGAATGACACATGTGCGGTCACTGTAATACTCCCGCTGTCACCGGCAACGCCAGAATGACTGACTCTGTCCCCACGAGGCCTGGCAGTGAGTGAAACGTCTGAGCCAAGATAACAGGAAGGTGCGGATGTGAGCAGCCCCGCGCCGGCCTCGTGAGGGAAGCGTGTTTGTTTACCAAAGAGGATATCCTGCAAGAGGGCTACACAGCTGGGGCCGCGTCAGGCCCTCCAGTCGGATGCAGAGCTGCGTGTCCGCCAGGCCTAAGCAAAGCTAGCGGGCCCCTGCGGAGTGGCCCCCTGCGGAGTGGCCCTTAGCTTCCAGGGCCGCCCCGCTATGCAGATGTGCAGCCTGCCTGCCAGGTGTATTGAAAGCGTGAAAAACAATCCGGAACCCTTCATCAGAACTCGCAAGGCAGTGAAAACAAACACAGCGGCAGAACCGTTGTGCAACGTATGTAATGCTATCGCAAAACAAGACAGTACCCGAATTTTTAAGCTTTATAATATGGGGAGTCACTAAGCAATTTTTACTTGTCAGTTTTTCAACATTTAGTGCATTTATTACATTTAGCTAGAAACAAGAATTACAACTTTTCGCCATGTATAATATTTGAAAAATGTACTACATGTAAATATAAATGTTTATATGTAAATATTAAACATAAATGTTAAATATAAATGTAAATGGTAAATGTAGACTATAAATGTTGAGAATGTAGGCAAATTACCCACGGCCCTCTGACTTGTTTGCATGGAAACGATGAAAGCGCTAAGTGGCTGCTGGTGATGGAGGACAACATGGCGAATTCTGCTCCTTTAGAGGCGATAGAATGTGTGGTTTTGACTGGTGTTCGCGCTGCACTATGGAGCGGATTTTGTGCCACCTTGAAATGCAAACACAACATTGGCATGCGGGGGAATGTTGGGTATGTTTGGATCGAGAATCTCAGCCGACAGGACAATCAGCCCAGTAAAACACTGCGCAGTTCAACATTTCTGTGTCGATGTTTGTTGTTTCACGTCTATCAACAGGGAAAACTGACATATGCACATACCATAAGTGGGTTCACCAGTTTACTTTGTTTTGTTTAAAATATTAAAATATGCATCCATTTTCCCAGTGCAAACCTGGTCAGAGTTTTGAGGGGCCTGGAGCCTGTCCCATGCTGAGTTCCACTCTGGATGGGAGTCGGGTCTCATGCCTCGTTTTACCCCTTAAATTATTTGTATAAATGATAGCAGCATGTGTATCCACTCAGACAGCACACTAAAAAAGGCAGACAGACGAGAGCACGCTAAAAACAGTGTTAATCGCCTACGTATCTGCTCCTACTCAGACTTCCTTTAGCAGACCCCAGAAGCCTTCCATCCCTGCACATGCCTCAGGAAAATATGAAGCTAAGAGAGGCTGCCCTCTAGAGGCCAGGGGGACTCAGCAAATACTAACTGGAGATTTTCCTGCAGTCTTTGATGAACAAATAGTACCACCTACTCAACACATACAGATACAGGGTTCAGTCACAGACAAACTACAGACAGATAGATAGGCAGGCAGACAGAGACAGACACAAAAAAATATTATGCTTAATCGATCTCCATGTTGGTATTATACATATTACGTTAGTGTCATCTTAGTCATTAACCTCTGAAAGTCAGCCTAGTAGTTGCAGTAATCATCTGATATGGCTGTGTGTTTAGTGACAATTCTGAAACGGTGAAACAGTTTTTCTTTTCCTGAGAGTTTGACCTTCTCATCTAATCCAGTTCTTTAGCCAGCCTATCATCAGCGTTACAACCTCTGAGTAATGCTATGGTCACATTAAGGGTACCTCTCCCATAAAGGCTTATATTATAGTGGGTCCCCCATTACTACAAAATGGAACACACAGGCTCTTTATAACTTTTTTTTCTCTTAAACATAACATTTATAGTGGCGAGATTATTCTTGGCTTTACTGAAACTTTATTTTTTTTTTAAAAATATGAGTATTCAGACCCCTTAAGGAGTAATATTTTGTGTAAGCACCTCTGGAAGCAGGAAACTTTGTTTTAATAAGTCTCTACCAAGTTTGAAAAGCATTATGGGGCAGTCTGCAAATCCTTCCAGCCTGGTGCAGATTATATGGACACTTCCAGTGTGGACTTTAGATCGCAAATCATTCATTTACAGTCCAGCTGATCTCCGTTATGATATTCAGCAAGGATGTGCTATCTGGTTCCATATCTGAGCAACTGCTTCTGAAATAACTACCAGCTGCATGATACTGTATGTTACAGAAAAACAGTCACTGCTTCCTCACTTCCTAGGTTGGCAGTTCAGGAGGAAGGCTGGGTTGTGCTCATTAAGGCAAGACTTATAGACTATTTAGGTTCAGTCAGGGCTCCTGTGAGAACCAGCAAACCATGGGAAATAGGTTAATAAACACATATCTCCCTATGTCACACACAAGAGAGAGAGAGAAAAAAAAAAACAATTCACAACAAGCTTGTTGAATTTTGAAGTTTCCTTTTCATCAACAAACGAATGTTTCTCTCTGCTATAGTGCTCGGTGCCCGCGCAGCACAAGCTTGGGATTGTGTCATTCTGGAGGGATTCCTGTGTACACAAATACGCCTTATGTGGCTCTACTTCATTTCCAAATAATGTCTGACCGTGTCATTGGTTCAGAAGTAGAACACCGGTCAAATGAACACGTGGCAAGGAGAAAAAGAAAAAAAAAAAAAAACAGCATAGTATGGAAAAAGTGATGATGACCTCAAAGAGAAAGGCAACAGCAAAAGTGACGACCTTCCCCATAAGCTAAGCCCAACTCGGCTAAACTGCACCTGGCTAAGCCTGCAATAAAATGACCCAATTTTACCATTTACCCTCCTTCCAGAACCAGCCTCTGCCCAGAAAACTGCCTTTTAACACACCCGATACGGCAAGCCTGGCCAAGCGGCCCTGCTTCACCCCTAAAGTCTTACTTCTGTCCTAAAATCGATGAAGAAAGAAGGATAACTTCTGAGCAGTTATCTTAAATGTAATGGCCCTCAGCTTGCAGGGCCGCCCTCAGCTTGCAGGGCCGCCCTCAGCTTCCAGGGCCGCCCTCAGCTTCCAGGGCCGCCCTCAGCTTCCAGGGCCGCCCTGCTACGCTGATGCGCTGCTTGCCTGCCAAGTATATTGAATGGTAATTAAGTGGCATGAAGAACAATCCGGAACCCTTCATCAGCACTCGCGTGGCAGTGAAAACAAACACAGTGGCAGAACCGTTGTGCAATGGGATCATTCTCACAAGTATGCAATGCAATCACAAACAAGACAGTACCCGAATTGTTAAACTTTATAATGCTCCAAATATTTCTGCCAAAAAAGAGATGTTGTTTAATTCACATGTGATTAAAATGTCATTTTGCTATTTCAGGCCTGTGTGTTTCTCGCGTGCAACATGCTTCATTGTGATTGGCTCATGGTTTACATTAGGGGCTCTTGAGGGGCTTTACCTAAAGGTATATCTCAGTACTCTGATTAACATTCATGAATCCCAAAGTGGGTGTGACCCAAAGCACATGTCTGACAAACACCAGAAAGCCCTTGTATCTTTTTTGGTGAGAAAGTTACAGGTTCCGTAGGTCATTTGCCGACAGCTGAGCTGGACATGCTGGATCTCTGCTGTGGGAAGTGCAGAGAGAGATGTGAACATGTATTTAAGAGCTGCTCGGCCTCAGAGTCCTGAAAGGTATGTAGAGTCAACAAAACACCATCGATACTGTTAACTTTACCAGAGGTTACATGTACATGTAAATACTAAACAGAAATATCACAGCAACTGTAATACAGATACCAGAATACAGAGGATATTGTCTAAAGTTCCCAACAAGATAATCCAGGTGTTAGTATAGCCTCAGGCAGGAACATGTGGAATTCATGCTGCTTGGAGGGATCTGGAAGATGCAGAGCAGCTCTGCAGGGTTTCCACATTCCCTCACATGTTCTGCAGCCCTGCCAAATCAGCATATCATGTCTGGAAACTCTATGTAGAAAGCAAATGCTTTGGAGATGGATGGCAAGGTGGCACCATGCTTAGTGTGGTTGCCTCACACCTCTGGACCCAGGATTCCATTCCGCTACATGTGTGGAGTCCAGACCTCAACCTGACTGAAATGCTGTAGCGGGACCGTAAGAGAGCTGTGCATAAATGAATGTCTGCAAACCTCAATGAACTGAAGCAATGCTGTAAGGAAGAGCTAGCCGAAATTCCTCCACAACAATGTAAGACACTGATGAAGTCATACAGAAAACAATTACTTC